CATACACATACACACTTCACACTAACTACAGCTATGGCAGCTATGGCTGCCTCTACCCTATCGCTATACTAAGCTCCTTCTCTCTCGCCCACTGCGTCCTCCAKGCTCACTGYAGACCTCCTTGCACAAGTCGCTRWGAYAGCRCTTCCGCATGGCTCACGCAGGAATGAATGAATGGCTGGGCRCTGCCTCTTGATTTATACTTCGGAAACTCATTGGTCTGCCCTTTGTCATCGGCCCATGGTGCTCACAGTCCCCCGTGGTACTTGCTGGACCGGACTGGGACTGACTGGACCTTACCGTCGACTGACTGTGGACTCACTGCTATCCTACCATCCTCATATTGCGATTGCACTGCAGTTTAGTCCACCACTTGCCTCGCCACTTGACCACTTGCCCACTTGCCCACTTGCCTACCTTCTAGAAGGACTACAGCTAAGCTTCTGGGACTCGCTAAGACTTCTACTCTATAGGTCTACAGATCGAACCCCTGCTGCCTATGGACCTACGACAGACCTACCAACTGTACACGAATCCACAGGTCACAGGTTCAACTCTTGGGGTCTACACGGATACTGTACATGGGCAGGGTGAGGTCTAGGGATCGAACCCTGGGTGCTGCATCTGCTACTGCTGAAAGGTGAAAACCGTTTCAATGGTACCTGCAGACTATTACCGGCCAAAGATGCTTCAGTACCCGACTCTATCGGACTGCGACGTTTCGGCCTACGGACTGCTACGGGACTCTACTGACCCTAAGACTTGACCTACAATAACCTAGCGAGCCTGGGACCATCTGGGGCGGGCCCAATTGGGACACTGGTACCGGGACTTAGGGAACTGATGTGGCATGAAATCCTTCACTCCCACCAGCCTAATTTCGAGGTCCTCCGAGAAAGATCTTATCTTTACTGGTCAATGACATTGATACCCTTCCTTGCTCGTCCGTAGTAGGATACTATATGTGGGGCGGTTTCCATCAGCTCATCCTCAATATATGTTGCATACCGTAAAGGTGCAGACCAGACCAAGAACCGACCTTTCTGGCCAGATACAAGATAGCACAATGGAAGTCTTGAATACCAATGATCCGATCAATCAAGCTGCCATGCAGACCAAACATGAATCATCATCATTCCATGGTGTGAAGGGGGCTGACGCGCACACCGGATGAATGCGTCAGTCCCCGATCATACAAAGACGAAGAAGAGGGGGATTAGACGAAGGGGAGGGGGAAGATGGAAATGTCGTCAACACGAAGTCTTCGATACAGTCCCAAATCATCCCTCACCAAAGGTCTGAATCCCAATGTTGAGTCTGAACCCAAATGTCGTCAAATCCCAATGTCGCCCATCTCTCTCTCTCTCTCTCTCTCTCTCTCTCTCTCTCTCTCTCTCTCTCTCTCTCTCTCTCTCTCTCTCTC